TTTTCCTTTTTTCCAACTGGCACCAAAAAGTTATAATTGAAATTGGATTTTATCACACGTCAAACTTTTAAAAATTTATATTAACCCGTCACCGTCTGATGTAAATAATTCGAACGGTTTATGTGGAAATCTCGATGGAAATGAGGAAAGTGTAAATAATGCATATTTCGAAAAATGGAAGTAAGTTTATTCTCTAATTTTAAATCAAAACATACCAAATTTATACTTTTTCCATTACATTTGATGATATCATATGTATTTGTTTACAACTGGCTAGTAAAATACATAATAAATTATAGGTATTTGTTCTATCTAATTCATAATTGTAGTGTTAAGTATTAGCTTGTTTTTGGCCTTAAATGAAAATATATGTGTAAAAAAATATTTTCATTGATTAAAGATCATAACACATTAGTGAAAATATAAAGATATAATATTTAGTAAATTTTCGAAATTTTAGTAAACATTTTAATTACAGCAGAATGTATTGCCATTATTTCTTCGTTGTTTTATTTTTCATAATGTACGTAAATGGCGTATATTTCTTTTTTCATAATATATACAAACAGTACTTTTACACTATTTTGAACTGTTGCTATGTGTACAAGAAGAAAATAGTTTCCCATATTATGTTTCTTTTTCGTGACTAAAGAAGATTATTAAATGATTAATACAGATTGCAAAACAGTTTGTTCAACACGGTGCGGTACAATCTTCCATCAACATTGACATACGATCATAAAATTTGCCTATGCCCAAAAGCTTTCATAAATGCAACTTTGCCGGCATTACAGAATGATCATTCCACGGCAATATGTTTCTCTCAGCAGTACGCTGCGTGTACAGAAAATATTCAACTTGCAGGAGAAAAGAAAACTTGCTCATTAAAATACAAGAGGTCTTTAGAAAGGCATAGAAGAAATGTCGACAGGTTGCTTGTCCAGTCATTATCAAGTGAGAATTCAAATAACCGTGTTCGCAAGGTGAGTATAATTCTATATCACAAATAGGTTTATTCACTATAATCATTAACGAACTCTTTACGAATGTCTGAACTTTTTTTGTTAGATTAAAGATATACTATGCTCATCCTTGAGTAAAATATTTTAGAACAGATTTTTGTCAAAATTTATAAGATTCTTACTGAATATATCTAATGAATAAACTTGGTTGTGAAGCTGCATTCCCTTTAATGAATCAAGTAAAAGTGGCTCTATCTAAAAACAGCTGCCAATTTCTTATTGACGTTATATATTGTTATATAATGACAACTAAAAATGTGTAGAATTTTAAACATAACATATTTTATTCGTGTGAAGTCAAAACATGTTTATTTAATTTTGCAAAGAAACTGTGTAGCAATAATCAATATTTTTACATCGAATTTGAGCAAAGTATATCTTTAATTCTTGTCTACAGCGTTTGAATTTGTCAGTTTTCAAAATGAATGTGTATAAGGACTATAAATTGCCATACGCCATATTGCCATAGTTTCGTACAATAACGTTCATATTACTTTATGATTTTTTTTATATTCGGTGTACTTGAGTCATATTACACTTAATTTAGCAGATGAAACGTAATTGAGGCCATTTTAACAATGTAACGCCGAATTCGTGAATGAAATACTGAAGCAACGGCGGTTATCTCATTAAAAGTAGCTGAATCCTATATTTTGCCAGCTTCCTTCTTTCGTTATACGGCTATATCAGGATGTCTTTCTCGTGAATGATCTAAGAAAGTAAACAAATTCCTGAAAAAAATGTAATGCTGGTTAACGTATAATGTCGTTGCAGCCGTATGCACTTATTCATTCCTTTAAATTTGATTTAGAACGAACTATGCTGGTTCGTTTATTTACTGTCTTCTTTGTTTTGGCAATTGTGTTGCACAGAATCTACGTTTTCTATATAACCACTAAACATTAGACGCGCAGAAATGAGTACGGAAACAAATCCTGCACAATTTAGCTTAATATCGGAAATGGTAGCATTTATTTATTAATTTCGTGTAAGAATCGAAATAATACACCCAAATCGGTGATTTTATCGCTTTATAAACACATTGTTTGTCGTTCGGATGCGCATCATTTTATAATTATTCGCATCCGATCTATTGAGCAATAAAATCACATTATTTTAAGGCATATGCCATCGAGGGGTTAGAGTCGATGATTTCTAATCCAGTTACCTCTCTGGCATGGGGTTCGATCCTCGGGAGATGCTTTGGTTGTTAAGTGCAGAGGAAGGTAGTCCAGTACTGGGGTAACTCTCCAGGCAAGATGGTTAGGAAACTACATGCCTATATGATTGAAATACTGTTTGGAAAAGGCGTAAAATGAAAGAAACAAACAAGCAAACGGCATACGGTATTGGTTATCGAACCACTTATGGTCATTTCTTGAAAGAGTACATAATACTCCATTATGGTTATGATTGTGCCAAACATGAAAAAACACTAGATGGATCTGCATGAAAATGAATTTTATGAATGGCTAGTGGTAAACCCTGCACTATGCAGACAGCTTTCAAAAGATACTTTTTTTTCTAATTCGCTTCGCTAAAACTAAAATAAATAATTTATCACCTAATAAGAGTTATAAGACCTTTAGTCTGGGACAGAATAAACAACAACACTGAATGGCCTTCTCATTGTTATACACAGCAATACGATATATAACACTTTATGTCTGCGGAAGATGAACCTCTGAACTAGCTCCCAGCCTGTAAAATAAACTAGTATCTTGATTATTAACATGGCTCTAATTTCGATAACAATAACCAAAAGCCTCACTGCCAGCAAAATTAGAAACGTTTACTGTTATATATTATAACATGGGGCTTATCTTGATGTAACTAAATAAAACCATGGCTATTTTAAGTCAGAACAAATTGTTTATGACTCATAACGGTTAAGGGGACAGGATGGTGGCCAATACTACCTGTACAATACAATACAAAGTCCTCGAGTGGCGTATCTTTCCGCCGATCAATTACATATACACTTCAAGTTCAGTGAACACGAAATAATCGTGCTAAACTATGACACAACTTATTTAACCGTACATCTATAATTCTAAAACTGCAATAAAATATTTATTTTCTGATTCGCTTCGCTTAAACGAAAATAAATCAGTTATCACCTAGTCTGGGACAGAATAAACAACACTGAATAGAATGTAGGCCTTCCATTTTGTCAAAATCAATAAAAAACAAAGAAGAAGACATTGCACACAACTGCCAATCCCTAATATCCATTATAAAGAAATTCAAAGCTTGTCTTGTCTAGACCTTACCCCCGTTACAGTAAATGTAAAAATACTTGTGTAAAGTAAATGAGCTTAAATATCTGTTTAATGCACAGTAATTAAAAGAAAACTTAAGATTTGAACCAGAGAGAAATAATCTCAGGGTTCTCGGCATGAAAATGAAAGCGCAAAACAGTGCCGAAACTCACTCCAGTCGTCTCACATCAAAGGAAAGCGTACGTTGTTATCTTTATGAAATTATGATATTTCAGGGACTTTTTTAAACGTGGTTAAAATAGCGGAAAACAAGTTTTATGATCAAAACATATGACCAGGTCGTAATAATATGCAAAAATATTTGGACGTACGGTTTGCACGATAAAAATACGCATGGTGTATACATGTGCGGCTCAAGAAGGGGAGCCACGCACATAACCCCAAGTGTCTGTGGATCGCTACGCTCTCTCGGTCTTCAAACCGCCACCTGCGTCAGTAGATACTATGCAGACCTATTCCTCGTACTGTAACTATTGCTTGCCAATTATCTACCACGTTCATTTTCTTCTTAGAGGTACGCAAAACACAATACTACATGTACAGTACAATGCGAAGTCCTCGAGGGGCGTATCTATACGCTTTTCAATAACGTACATATACACTTCAAGATCAGTGAGCACGAAATAATCGTGCTGTACTATGACACAACTAATTAACGTACATCTATAACTCTTAAACTGCAATAAAACATATATTTAAAGCAGGAAACATACCGATATCTTAGTAGTGAATAAGGACTATTCAGGATGTGATTTTAACAAAACCTATCGATAAATGTCTAACATCGATTTTGGAAAATGCCTATATTAATCATATAGAATGAACTGAGTACTTCCTAGTGTTGACTCTGTATCTGTAATCTTGTTTGTAGAGTACTTCCAATGCTCATCTCACTGAAGAACAAGCATACAAAGAATGTCTGGATCTATTCAAATCAAAGCCTACATACAACATGATAAATGATCTACCTGGCATGTTTTTGAATGACTCATTATCAGCATGTGTAAATGATATGATGGTTTGTGTTTTCTTGTAAAGATATGGTTTTAAATTTTACAGTTATTTTAGTTTATTATAGTATATTAAAGCTCCTAATCATATCATTGTACAAATGTCTTTTTTTATTGAAATCTAATTCTTCTGTTTTATTATCTTTTTTCCATTTTTCTTTACAATATATTATTACATTTCATTAATTGTCCCTTCTTAAAATTTATATCGGAAATGAATCAACTTCGTTATGATAAGCATTTCTCAAAGAGGAGAAATATATTAGAATATAATTGTTTATTTTACCTGATAAATGCATACAAATATGTATAGGTGTATTATACAGGTTGACGGTCGGGATTTCTGGAAAGAGGAAAGTTATAACAGTTGGGTTAATGTTGTTACTCAGGAGATAGGTCGAAACGGAACATTCAGAAACGAGAAATCCGAGATTGTCAGACATTTTAAAAGTCTCACATGTCCATCGCAATGTAACGGTAATGGGAACTGCATAAATGGTATGTTGTGAAATTAAAAATTCAAATAATCTTCTAATAAAAGAAGGTTGCCTCTGGAAATTTAAATTGTTTCATTTGACATTCACGTTTGTTTCATTTATTGAATAATCGATTATAATCAAATACCATGAACAGTATAAAACAAGTAATCTAAAATACATCTTATTGAACAAATATCCCTCTTCAGAAAAGTCTTCAGATAAAGAAATGTTGATGTGAAATATAACAAAAGTTAGAAATAAACCAATGAGTAATATTTCGTTTTAGGAACATGTGTATGCAAAGACGATTACGTTGGCGATTCTTGTTTTGTAAAAACATCAGCACTTCTAGAACTTACTGATATAGAAGGTGGAGGTGAATGCGATCTTGCTGACGGAGATGACTGTCATGATTGTCTTCAGTTCCACACTGAGAACCTCTTGAAAGTGTTCAAGTGCAGGATTGTTACAGTTGATGTATGCCGTGCATTTATAATTTTGTCAATCAATATTATTTACGCTTTCTATATCAAACATCGATGACAACAATTTATCTGATGGCCATATTGTAATTAGATAAACTTGGCTTTAATATAACCTGTGCATTACCTTAATATACACAATGTCAATTTTAAATTGAATCTTATAAACAGGCTTATAAATCATTTACAAACACTTTTTTTAAATAAACATAACGGATTATTTTCACCCTAGAATTATTCAATAACAAAATTGTACAAACAGTACTGATTTCTCCCCAGAATTATTCTGTAAAAAATAATACAAAGTAAACTGATTTAAAATGTATCAGTTGTTAAGCTATATCGCTCTTAATTTGTTACATAACTACTAAGAAAGTTATGAAGTTTTCAAAATTGTACCATCTTCTTTCTTTTAGAATTTGCTAGGCTTTGAATGTTAAAACAAGTCTCATACTGATGATCTTAGATAGAAATTGTAAATTTGTCTATGTATGTGACTTTTCAATGAAAAGCGAAAATGTAAAAATTCCATTTGTCGTTGATGGTTATAATTATCTGAAAAGAAAAGAAATTATATTTCATTTTGATTAAATTAAATTAGATTTGCATTCAACAGACATTTTATTCATAAATATTTAAATGTAAAACGTTCAAAAAAATTCATTTACTTTTATTTTGATTTTAATTATGTATGAATTATGTATTGCACAGCTTGATGTTAACAGAACGGTTATCAATTCTGATGTCCACGATCATAACGGACAATATGAGAGTATGTTTCATGGATACTGTTGTCCCTCGGCTGTAGAGAAAAGAAGAAAGAAAAGAGATGTTAACTCTAATACGTTTACTGTTAGATACTCTGTATCTATTAGCAACGATGGGATACACTACGGCCCAAGTAGAAATGTTCATGTCTTCGATTCGACATGTCAATCATACGTCATGATGCCAACAGGCGACTTGCTTTTCAATTTGAAGGTGGAGTTCGTAATACATGTTTTCTAAAATTGTTTTGCCAATTGAATTTATAGTAGTCAAAATGCTTGAATTATGCAGGGAAAATAACTGATGCATTTCTTAGTTAAAGCTTTCACATACAATATTATTGACGTTTGAAAGAAGATTAAATCTATTGAACCATTACGCGATAATGGTGAAAAAATGCCTTATTTAGGCCCCCAACACTTGTTTTTGTTTCAGAAATCTTGTTAAAAAAGTGACCACTTTTTCGGCGCGGCTCCCCAACCAAAAGTTACATCAGGGGGTTGCCAGAAGGGGGATGTTTAAAGGGGAAAATTTAAGCCTGAGCATGTTGTTGTAAGGGCAATTGTCCAGTCAACATTTGTGCCAAGTTTGATTAGTATTAAAGCAGTTTTTATAGTATTATAGCAATTTGAACTTGTAACGGGAGACTTTTCAATGAAAACAACCATTTTCTTCACAAAATGCTCATGAATAAATGAGTTAATTTAAAATAAATTTCAGCAGTCGTGGATGGCTTTTAAGATAATGAATAATTTCTTTACATTTTTAAATATTAGATATAAAACACTTTATTTTATAGACAGACACATGTTATATAGAGAGTCAGTGTTACAGGGACGGCGACCGAAGTCTAGAGAGTCCAATTCTCATTTGCTGCCCATATGTTACTAGCTACCAGTGGACAAAGCAGCAAGGTATACTTTTATTATTTGCAAAGAAATACTTAAATGAAAACTTTCATTTGTTATGATTTTGATTTCCGTGAAATCAACAACTGGTCCCTGGAGCAACAACTCTGCAGAATGAGTCAATATTATCGTTGCTGTATTTAGATTAAATGAATAGCTTTACATTGTCATTCTTACTTCGTTGTATCTCATTTAAATGTTAACCAAAAATAGTAAAAAATGTTACATACAATAGTAACTTGAAATTTTCTTGTGTGATTGGTGAATAGGTTTATAAATGTTAGTTATTTCATGCATATCAGACAGGTTAATTTATTCTTTAAACCGATGCTATTTCAAACATACCTTACATTCCCGTGTACGTTGCCTGCTTGCAAAGATGTCATTCCCAAACATTTTTTTATGAATGAACTGCGTTTATATGACAAAGTCATTTGTAAATTCAATCGCTACTATAATAGAAAGGTGCTTAGAAAAATATTAGCTTTCGCAATTTCTCTCCGCAATATGATTTATATGTAATTTGCAAGAAAAGGAACCATACACAGCCCGTCATCACAGACATGAACATCCAGATATCGGGTAACTGTTAAGCGGAAGACGCTAATAGTTACTTCGAGCTAGGTATTTCGTTATGTGTCGAAGTCGGTGTAAGAGTTATAGTATTTAGTATTTTACATTACAATATACCTTGAAATAATGATATATGAATCTGTCCATAGTCGACCATTACTCTTTAATGATAAACATGAAACTATATATCTCAAAGAATAAAATATTTTTGTGCAATTTAAGATTGTGTAAAACCAACCAGCAATCAGGAAAACGGTGGTGAAAGTAGCAAGCTTATTATAGCAGTGTCTGTATCAGTGTCATTGATATTGATTGTTGCCGGGGTTGTGGCATTTGTCATCTGGACCTTCGTAATTAAAAAGCGGTAGGTTTGGTTCTTTTCTTTATATTTTTTAATACATTTCAGAAATATTTTATTGAACATGTTTATCGGAGGTCGTGTGCATGTAACTAGCAGTATTCGACGTTGCATGATTAATATATTTTTTGAACGAAAGTAACTTTTTTATCACAAAGAAATTATATTTGATGTTTCAGGAAAGCAGAGTGAGGGATATTACACATATCTATTATCCCTCATGTACAGACTCGATCAAACCGCGTCTGAAATTTTCATGTCATTCTGTTGTGATTAAGCTTCCGGGGGATCACTTTGTTTCCATATTTTTATTTACCATCAGTAAGACGTTTTGCATGTTAATTGCAAGCTATCTTTTCTTCATTCTAGTGTTAGTTCATTATTTTGAGTTGTGTTCGAATTACAGATTGTAAATAATGAATGAGAAATTATGAGTCACTTTAATTCTACGAACAACACCTGTTCACATTCTAGAAATGTTGTTGACTTGTATTTGTTTGTATAATATTGCTTTACATTTCTAATTTAGAAATGCTTGCAAGCAAGAACATAACAATAAATGTCAGATTGTTCTGTTTCTTTACTTAACAAGTAAATAATTTATTTAAATATGTTAGGATTGCTTAAGCCATACATTTATTGATTCATCATATAATTGAGGAAGTTTGTTCGATAAATGAATATGATGTCTTATATCATCAGTTTCGGACAATACAAAATAAATCATTTTCCCATTAATCAAGTGCCGTCTAAAATACTTGAAAAGATCAATTAAGACAGTGTTATGTTTTCTGCATGCATCTTTGTGCCTTTGGGATCCCAACATTATTGGTTATAACAATAACAAAAGTAACAAACGTCATATACAACAATGTAAGTAAATTAAATTTTTGATATGCGTCAATATTCCAGGACCAAGTCTATGCATACAACAAGGGCAGAACCTCCTGTCTATATCAATTCGGGTTTCAGCGCAGCGCAGTGAGAATTTGAAAAAGGAGGAAAGGCAGTGTTTTAACCTTTACTACCGATTTTAGCGATTACGAGCAGCTACGTGTCAATAAACACCAAAACGAAGAATATCGAATAACGTAGCACAAATTAGTATGATGAAAAATGGATTATTTATTCTACCCGCTTCCTTGAACATGACCGTTATAATGTGTGTAATATTTCCTATTACTTATGATTCATTCAAACTGTATCAAAATAAGTGATCATATCGAATTTCTAATTTATAAAATCTGTAAACTAAATGTGCGTTGATTTCTTTTCATGTAATTTTCGTTTAAATGACAAAATTTTTATGTTTCTAATAAATGTATACGTCTAATGTAAGTGACACTTTTGTGTGAGACAAGGACTTAGTTAAGACATTTTACAGTTTTCTGTACTGATAATGTGTATGTGTGCGTACATGCGCGCGTCCGTGCGTTTGTGTGTGTGTGTGTGTGTCTGTGCGCTCGCGATACAGCACTGCAGAAAGATTATGTCTTTCTATCTTTCCTTCTCTTAATGAATGACGTTTTTATATAAACATATCTTATTGCTTTTTTTGCTCACGGGGAAAACAGTATATTTTCATAATATTCATTCATCAGGTTTTATGCACACGTATGATTCATAAATGTTGTAATTTAACAAAATTTTATTGTACATGTAGTATCAAACATTATTATTTTAAACACAAGTCTTTGTAATGAAGAAAAAATATAAAAAAAACAAAGATAACTTATACATCAGTTCATATAAAATGTATCTTTAATAAAACAATTACGTAAGTCAGTGTACTGTTGTCATTTTAATCAACTTGAATGTTTGTTTGTTGTTTTATTATACCCTAACAATCAAAGTTTAGTGGGGTATACGGGAGTCAGTTTGTCGTTTGTTAGGTCCGTCCTTCCGTCGGTCATTCGGTCTCCTTCATGATTTCCGGAAAATAACTAGAGTTTGGAATGAGTTATTGTAATCAAAGTAGGTAATAGCAATCTTATGTAGAAACCCGGTTGGTATTGTATTTTGACCCCCCTGATGGTAAGGTCAAGGTCACCGTTGCAAACAATAGAAAATGGTTTCCGAACAATAACTAGAGTTTGGAATCAAACTTGGTATTTAGCAAGCATATATGATGACCTGGTTAGTATTGCACTTGGATTCCCAGGGGATCAAGGTCAATGTCACCGTTACTTAAAATAGAAAAATGGTTTCAAGATGTTTAAAAATGGTTTTTGGACAATAACTAGGGTAAGAAATGTGAAATTGTTATTACTCATCATGAACGTTAAAAAACTCACGTGGCCAAAGGAAATTTCTGTAAATATCCATCTACCGTGGGAAGACTGATGCTGTCTTTTTAAAAATTTATCCTAAAAACTTTCGCATATCAACCATTAAAATAGTCAACTTTTTTAAAATATATATTCAATTCAGCTCAACTTGACGATGAAATTGAGCATAATGTCACTTTAATGCATTGATTTTTGTAATTTCTTTTCGATTGAAATTAAAGATTTTTGAGACCATCAGAGGTGCATCGTACACTTACATTTCTTGCTTCTGTTTTATTGTTTTACTATAAAATACATATATAAAATACATATATAAAATTTTCGATACGTTTACCATATAAACGTGATAAATATTTAAAATGTATCGTTTTTATAAAGGTTCTCACAGTGTTAGCTAACATTAAAAGAGTTTTAATGTTGAAAAGGACGGTTTGCACAACAGACAATGACGTAAGTAAAGTTTATTTAGATATATTTGTTCAAAGTTCAAACTGTGGGCATATCACGTGGTTTCCACGTCATAGTTTTGTAATTAAACGACAAGTAGAAAGGTGCTGCAAGCACTCACAGCCCACATTGGATCTTTAGGATATAATAAATTGATAAAGTGAAACCATATATTTGGACTTTGTTAAGTGATAAAGAGGCGTGATTATCTTAATTTAATTAGTATATGATTTTCAAATATTTTGCTGACACATCAATTAAAATTAATAACAGATCACATTTATTTTCAATACTATCTTAATTTCAGTGTACAGCGGCAAATGAGAAATGTGTTACACGAGGAACCGAGAAATAATGCGTAGATCCTAAGTGCCTCTATATAGCGCCTTTACGATAGCTATACTTTATTATCGTGGTCCGAGGAGAATATTAAATATTATTATATTTTGATTTCAGGCTTCAAGTGATTTTTGACTGATGCCCTCCTAACAATTTATTTTTTATCAAATGTTTTCCGGGCAGCAGTTCTGCAAAAAACGGTTACCGATACCTCACCCTACTCCCATTCTAGCATATTTGCACTACCTATCCTCATGTGTGCATTTGGTCAGACCATTACAGAAATTTCAGTATAGATTAAATTAAAGATTTAACAATAAATAATATGTTCAACTAAACATCACCCTGATTGTAGCCTTTACAATAAACAAGACTTGATAATTTCTGCCCTTACACCACCTGTCAATGTATAATTTTATAACACATGGACGGCAAAAGACATCAGAATATTGACGCATACGGGTCACGTCATCTGCTATATTTTATCGGGTATCGAACATTAATTCAAATGCTCAGACGTGGTTTACAATATTTGGGATATTTCTCTTATACTTAAAGTAAAAACAGTTCAGATTTGAAATGTTGTAGGCTTGATTTGATTGAACCTGTTCAGAGACGGTACTGAAAAATGAAAGTTAACGTCCACGTCCCCGAGCACTGGCTACAAGTCAATTACATTGTAAATGATATTTAGCAAACGAAAACTCTCATTTGTTGCAATTGTGCAATGATACCTGAAGGATTTCACCAGTTAATATAAATATACATCACATTTATTTATAAAAGCAGATACATTTTATAGCGAGTTATCGAGTAATCACACGAAGAATTGTGTTCGGTCCCCGCCCCTCCACTATTGATGAATTATTAAAAAGATAATCGGATGAGATTTTAAAAACAAAGTGACCTGTTAAAAAAACTGTTAATTTTGTAATTGCATAAGTGCCCTTCCTTGAACTTAACATTGTATTGCTTTCAGGTTTTCACGATGTGCCCATCATAAACGTACGCCGTAATTTGTCGTATCCCAAGATAATTAGGTAATTGATGGGCTATAACTGGTGACCAGGCAATTCTGAAATAGGAAGCATTATGCTGGACATTTATTTTGCAAACAAATATAACAATTACAACAACTTTCAAAAACATTTTATATTAAATCATGTTTATATGACACAGTGCTATATACCTCAAAGTAAACTTATGTCACAGTTAATTATTTAGAAGCTAAAAGATTACTTATTTTATGCCTCCATTGTTGTATGTACATTATTGCCATGTATATGGCTTTTATCGTACAGCTAAATAAGATCTATGATTATAAAGTACTACAATCGTTAATCACGCTTGTCCATATAATTCGTGCATCCTACTATTCATTTACTTAAAGCATAAGTTTCCTATGTCCTAGTAACATTTGCTTAATACTTTAAAAAAAAAACTGACAATTAGTCTCCTGTATTACTTAAGTAATATGACTGTTACTGAGAAAAGAACAGACATAAGAAGCAACCATATGAGAGAAAATATCCAAATATCTGTTTAAACATTTCCGATGGCGCTATATGACTTTCATTATTATATTACATAAAGTTACAATTGAGTATTGTTGTCTTTCTGAAAACCATCATTTGACAACTACTCGAACTTTATTGTGTGACAGGCAACTCAATAGACAATTAATACACACAAGAATATGTTCTGTTTAGTCCTGCAATGTACATGTAGGCATTGACTTGGTGACAATTATTAAAATCTTTCTTGTATTAATTGCTTCATCAATTTTCGAAAATACATTAATTTTACGTTACAAAGTACTAAAAACTTAAAGGAAGGTGTTGGCAAAATACATAGACTTGTTGAACTTGATGGTCGCTAGTTATGGAAACTCATTACGAGAACAGTAAAGATCTAGACAAGATACAGAAATTAAATAAAGGCCCTCTTATAAAGATTATACAAGTGTTTTATAATGTTTAACTTATAGAGCATGCTAGATGTTTTGCATATGACGAAAGTAGCACGAAATGTAAAATAATTTGTCATAAAGTATGAAAATGTTAACAAAGTAGTATTGTTTTTTCCATACAAAATATTTAATCACTATCACTATTCTAATTCAGAAAAAATGCAACAGAAGCAAACGATGGATTAGATAGTTGTCCAAAGAAATGTTTTGGTAACTATAAACAGCCATCAAAATTAAAAAGCTTTGAGAAATGAAAATAAAAGCATGATTGGCACTTGAATGGAACAGGTTATGGTGAAAAATGTTTGTAAGACTGAAAGATGGCTATGAACAATTGCATAATCTTGAAGTAAGGGATATATTCGACCAGTAATGGTCAAGTGAACATCAATTGAGTAAAGCCATCTGATGTTCTGTGCCACATTGTCTCCGTAAAAAATAATCTGGAAACAAAGTGATCCCTCGGAAGCATTAATCACAACAAAATTACAAGAGAATTGCAGACTCAGTTTGATTGAGTCATATACTGAATAAGTGCAACATCGCTCACGCCCTCTAGCACCGGCTTGAGCGGTTATCAACTCTCAACACTTCATAGTGCTGGCATCAATGATCCCAAAAGGACCAGAAAAATAAAACTACACTGAGGTGAAGTGCGAGGCAACTATTTACAGCTGCTTCACAGCACTTAACACCTGCTGTTGTGAAGTATAAAAATCTGGAAACAAAGTGTTCCCCTAGCACTGGCTTGAGCGGTACTCAATTCTCAACACTTACTAAGTCAATTGTAAGTCACAATCTTGAACAAAATCAAAAAAAGAACAAAGTTGTATTGATCTAAAGGGACTTCACTGAGATTTTGTAATACATGACATGACTAGACATAATTTTTCGAGGTTGATATAATTACATTTGATGTAGTTCCAGACCAATAACTTGTTTGCAAAATTTCATATCAATTTCTCTCTGTTTTATTGTGAAAATTGACCCAAAATTGAAAAGCGCTACATTTCCTGTCACTCAAATCGGGCGCAAAGTACAACACAAAATACCATTTTCAATTTGTTTCTGAGTATCTCTCTTTATTATCTTTTGCATATCTTTCTGAATCAAGTGCCTAAGCTGACCAATGAAAGAAATTCAAAATTTATGATGTAGGCCTTTGAACCTCAGTGGAGTCGATTTACATATCATGAACATTATATATTGGTAGATTTGTGTAAATTATTGCAGCGCCGAATTCATTCTCAGAAATGCTTAGACTAGGGTTCATCCCAGGCAATATGAGTGAAGGTCCAATGGGTGCTGGCAAACAAAAGATAATTGAAGAACTGTCTAGCTATTGTACTTATCCAAATTCTGCTGAAAAAATATATGAACTTAGGTAGGTGCAAAGATAAAATAGTATCTAAAATGATTTCTTCCAGGAAGGTTAAGTTTCAAGATGACGTCTTTTGTGAAAGAAAATACCGGTATATAATACTGTTAGGAATATGGCAGCAAAGTACATGTATGTTTCCTTGATACAAAACGAGCTTATACAGAGTTAGGCATTAGGCTTTGTTATGCTAATGTGAAGCTACCAAATTTCAATATATATTTCCAAAAGAATTTAACCGTTGATGACACTATCCCTCAGTTTTTCCATGTCCATCCAGGAACAAGGAAAGTGGATAACCTCTCCAACTCTCTTGTACATATATGATCTGTTATCTATTGACCTCGTCATT